TCTTAGTTTCATTTTATTGAATGAAGGAAAAACGAAACGTACAGAACAAAAAAAAAAGATGGTAAATATCTTTAACTATCTGTCTCATTTCGAACAGACATAGGATGTTCCATTGTAATTTTTGGTTCATCTTTTTCTTGTCGATTTTTATTTAAACGAAAACTAATATTATTATAAGTGATACCACCAGTTATTTGACTTTTTTTCTTCACCATATGAAAAACACTAATCAGGAATAAAGTACCAAATATGAATCCGGTCAACATCCCACCCACGATAGCAAGTGCTTGTGATCTACTAGAATATTTGATTTGTTCATATATTTCTTCTCGTTCTATGATCGTTGTCATATTATTAATTAATTGTATTTCATTGACACTAACATTTGGATTAAATGGATAAAAATGTTCAACATTTTCAAGTGAATATGGTATAGCTTCGAAGTAGTATCCTTCAATGGTAACAAATCGGAATTTACCTTCATTGATACTACGTTCAAGTTTCATTTGAGCATCAATTAATCCAACTTCTGAAGTCTCATCGATGTATGGTGTTCGATCGAGTAGAGTAAAAATACAATAAAATGTATCATTGTGACCTGATTCTTTGGTATGATGATCGAGTTCAACTTGTGAGATGCGCAGATATTTAATTTCCATTAGAGAAATCATTTGTTCGCGAATGTTTTCGACAAGATGACGTCTGTAATTATGAAAAAGAAATTTATCAAGACGATATTTCGATTATTTAAAAAGAAAAACTTACCTGTTAACAATAACATTTTCTATATCATCTACTGTAGTTCTATTGATAAGTTTGAGTTGAAATGCTAAATGATTATATAAGAGTTGATTCGATCTATAACATAAGTGTATATCAAATTCATTTAAATATACATCTGTACGATAGTCATAAAATTGAAAAGAAACATCGGCTGGTATTCCACCGTCTCTTCGATACAATTTAAAATAAAGTTCAACAGGATAATCGAAAAAATATTTATTATCATTGTTGCCATTCATACTATCATTGTTTTGTCGTTTTGACCAAGAATATTCAATATTTGTTACCAACCAATCTTCATTCGGATCCGATGGAAATACATTCTCTTGTTTGATAAAAACAGAACACATTATAGAACTACGACACGGACGAATACCAACATATTGAAAAATTTGATCAGTTGGATTAAGAAGAAAATCTTCGTAGTTAATCAATGTTATCATTGGTTCATGAAGAATTGAATCTGATAATATCATGTTGACTGCTTGTTCGATTCTACACGAGCCTGTTCGACGATCAATTGTATAACCTAGCAATGATGAGTCTGCATAGTCAAAAATGATCGAAACAGGATTTCGAATGAGATCATTAGGCGTATAATCATAACGTACTAATTGATGATCATTCGATTTATGATAACGAAGATGTATGGAACGCCAAAGTTGTTCGATTGAAGTTGAAATATCAATACGAACACTGAATACTTGAGAAAATTGAATTCCAAGATTGGATCCACTTGCCCATTCATAAAAAGGTACCCAATCTTTACAATAGATACCTTTGGGTGGTGCTACTGGAGTACTACTAATATTAACTCGATAGTCAAAAAAATTATCAGTTTGTAATGATGAACCATCACTCTTACGTCGTAGAATACGTTGTACAGGAATCGAATAGTGAAAATTATTCCAAGGCATTGCATACGAGGCTTTTGAAAATGAGAAAATAATTTCAGTATCGATCGAAATAGATGTAATCCATTGTTCAACATGAATGAAACCACGTAGAATTGTATCTCCAAGATATGTAGCATTGGATGTTAATAATAAAAAATCTTGCAATGATCGAATATGAGTTTTATTTGTATTAGTATCTGTTATAGCAGAAAAACCATCAGCTGAATTATTCATATCAATTGGATAGACATTACATTCTGATCGATCTGTTAGTGAATAAACAGCTTTTTGTAACCATTTATAATTGTAATATTCGATTGTCTTTTGTGTAATAAGAGTAAGACGATTGTAATCGTAATCGTAGATATATTCAGTAAGATTACGATCATCTTGAGCATCAAATACAATACTTTCAATAGTGAATTGTGCTTGTTTGGGAAAAATTGGATAAGTAGGAATCGAAGCAGCATATTTTTGGCAAGTCAAGGCAAACAGCACAACAATGATAATGTAATATAGACTTGTCATCATAGAGATGTAAGCGAATAAAATATAGAAGTGTGTCTTTCTTATCTTATTCTTTTGTTTGCTGCTATCATTAACACATGATACTTGTTATGTTTCATGTCGAGTTACTGATTGCTTGTTTACTCGTTCGAATTATATTTTGTCAAGAGTTTGATGTGACGATCTGTCCAAATGGTCTTACAAGTTCATCAAGTGGTCCACATTGGCAATCATCAATACCAAAGCGCTTCGAATTCTTTGCTGAAGTGAGTACAGAGGCCAAATCTGTACAAATAACTCAATTATTCCATAGTCCGAAACGTGATGCTATTATTTTTCATAATTTTGAATTGATAACACAAAAATATTATGATTTTCAAACGAATGAAATTTTATCTATTGATAAAAACATGGAATGCACTCGTTTAGAAATTGATAAAAACGAAGGACAACCGATTGCTATTAGTCAAATTGTAAAACCGTCTATTTTGCTTGGTTTTAATGGAAGAAATGAATATAATAATAGATTTTATACACGATATGTCGGTTCAACAATTGTTCGTGGTGGTATTGCTGTTCAACAATTTCAATCATGTTTCTATGTTTCTGAACAAAATTTAACAATCAATGCAACCTATTTTCTTAAATTATCTAACTCAAATGTTGCATCTGATATTGTTCAAATTGATGTATTATCAAAGAATTTTTCTTCCACATACAATATTATACGTTTTATATCCAATTCAACTCTTGACATAACAACACCATCAGGTGTCTTTTGTCCAAATCGAACTATAACTAAGAAAATACCGGAAAATTTTCCATCTCGTCTATCTTTACATGCCGAAGCGTTGATACCTGTTCTCAACACTACTAGTACAACAATTGAATCATACGATCGCCTCATTGATCAAGTATTAGAATTTGAAAGAATCGACTATATTGGAACAAAAAATAATAGCCTACCATCAAGTGCAACTCGTATGTTGATCGATTATTCAGTTGGTCTCAGTTATACTTATGAACGAGAAACACAGCAATGCACTGTGATGAATATGAGTGTAAATACACATATGCATACCATGAGTCAAATAGTATTTCAGTTCGGTACTGATAATAATGTAATTAAATTTCAATATACGGGTATTCATGAATGTGATCGTGATCGATTACAATGCCATCGATGGATCGGACAAAATGAACAAGCGAATTCCATCCAACAGTATGAATGGTTTTGGTCAGCAAAATATAATCAAATTGATTTACAAAAATTTATTCCAATCAAAGTTAATATTAATAATATTAACAAACATGATCAATCAAAAGTTCATCAAGAATTTAGTAAGTATATATGTACTAGTATTTTTCTCTTGCTTAGTTTTTTCAATTCAAAATATAAAAGTTAATCAATAATCATGACAAAAAATGTGAAAGTATTCTGAGAAAAAAAACAGTTTTATAGAACTAATGGATGAGACAGATTAAATTGTCGATCTTTGTGACATCTATTGTAATCAATTGTGCAACCATATCTATTAACAAAGTGCAGCATCGGATAGAGCAAGTAAAACTCTATGTTTTTGTAAAAAAAACTAATTTAACTAATATAATTAAGTCATTTTGGAAATGAAAATTTTGAAAGTACAATGCAACTAAAAAGTGGCTTTACTCGTAGATAGAGTTTTTATGCAGTCGTACATCTTTTCCAATTCCTTAGCTTTATCGATAAAATTGATGACTGTCAAACAATACGGATGATCATAGGTTAGCAATTCTAGAAAAGTTGTGCGACTGCACAAGAACTATATTTGCGAGCAAAGTCACTTCTTTCGTCATACTGTACTTTCGAAATTTTCATTTCCAAAATGACTTATATGAAAACTAGGTTTCTATATGAAAAATACAGAGCTTTGCTTGCTGTATCCGATTGAGTGTGACTGTTAATGAAGAGAAAACCCAACCTCACACCCTCAAGAGACGATTGTGAAATTTGAAAAGTGATTGTTCTCGTGTAAAATGATCAAATAGGTGTTTTTTGTCTACAGCAGACTAAGGACAAAAGTGGGCGCTTCAATGCATTATGTCTCATTCATCTGTTTTTTTTGCTAAGATTTCTTCAATTATAACTCTTTACCTAATTCAATGCAAGCAATTGATTCGACTTTGGCTGAATGTTATCGAGCTTTAGGACCGAGTCATGGTTTTAACTATGCAATTCTTCGCATGACACTTAATAATGATGCAAAACATCCTGTTGAACGACATTTGCTATCACTTCAATATCGTTTACATCTTCAACTAGCTGTCGATCTTGGAATTCGACATATTCGCCTATCATCGATTATAATCGATACGATACGTAATAGTACTGACAATCAAAGTAAAGATGTCTATGTAACATTTACACTTTTGGATAATCCACCTATATCAAAAACTCGTCTTAAAGAACCATCGTCATTAGAATTAATCAAAACCTTAGCTCTTCAAATTAATCGTGGGGATTTTCGTGTACGAGATGATGATGGTGGTTATGAATTGAAAGCTCGATCGAATAGTCTTCGAACATTAGTTCTCTATTTGTTACCACACGAAAATCATACGGCACTACTCAACTCAAATGTAACACCGACAATGGTCAAACGACGTACAGTCATAATTGAAAAACATACGGGCTCATTTATAGCTGCATTAGCAATAGGCTTT